GATAATTTGACCCCGATTTTTTTTCTCAGTCTTTGTCGGGCGTCATCCTAGAAACGAACCATCCAAATATCATGTCTTTAGGCCTTTTAGGTCATGAGAAGAAGTCGATTAAAGGTTTTGATAAATTTAACCCCTGTGACCTTTAATACATGCCAAGGTCATTTATGTTCGCAATTTGGTCGGGCTTTGTCCTAGAAACATCATCTAAATACCATGCCTCTAAGCCTTTTAGTTCATAAGAAGAAGTCGATAAAAGGTTATAACAAAATTAACCCCAGTGATCTTGAATATCAGCCAAAGTAATTTATTTGTAAGATCTTTGCCAGGCTTGAACTTCGAAACATACTAACCAAACAAATACCATGCGTCTAGGCATTTTAGTTCGTGGGAAGAAGTCACTTAAATGGTTTGGCAAATGTTACCCCTGTGACCTTGAATATCGTGGAAGGTCACTTATTTTCGGGACCCGTGTTGTGTTTCATCTTAGGAACATACCATCCGAATACTATGCCTTCAGGCCTTTTAGTTCACGAGAAGAAGTCGTTTAAATGCTTTAACAAACCTGACCCCTGTGACCTTGAATATTAGTCAAGGTCATTTCTTTTCACATTTTCATAGGACTTTGTCCTAGGAACAAACCAGCCAATTGTCAAAATATTTGGTATTTAGGTTATTGAAAAGAAGTTGACGACGGACGAAGTACGTCGCAAGACGGCATAAGCTCATTGGTCCTCCTCGTCGAACTTTGATGTACGTTTTCCGAAAGCAAACTGTATTTAGTATATACAACAGGATGGTAATGGTATTTAATGGATAGGCCCGTGTGATATTATTGTGTACTACATAAGCGATTTTTAGTGATAAAAGGATCCTGAATTTAATTCGAATTCATGAAACTTGTCACATTTTCCGTTTTAGTTCGACAGAGATCAAGTATGAAAATATATTAAAACTAGTTTCTTAAATCGCATAAAGCTCGAGTCGGTTTTATTTGGTAATAGCAGTAGTGATTTATAAACTTGATGTTATGTGTAGGCCTCGAGTTTATTTTCCATCCAAGACCTATGGACTTGGCACGAATTCCCAAACCATGATGGTTTATTGATATTCTAGGGGCTATAGATCTCAATAACACATATATTACCTATAAGAGTTTGTTTTATCATTCCTATGAATGAGATTTGCAAAATATTACATGTTGTGACTTGACGAATATAGAAATGTATCTGGAACTGGATAGTTAGACATTTTCCTGGCTGGTTGAAACGTCTTCTCGTCTCGAATTGATACCTCAGTAATTATGTGGTAACCGCAAAATTTACGCTTGTATCAGTACACATACCCAGTGATCATGTCTACAAAGAATATCTTTTGATGGTGTTATGTCTCCAACATTGTGAAAATTCCATATTCACATTAAGGAGCTCGCTGTCTTTAACAAAAGTCATCGCTTCTTTTTTATGTCATAGATGAAACGACATTTGACAGCAGGAATCTGTGGTACAATAAACAGACAGTGTGTTGCACATGTAGATGTCAATATCTGTAAAAATTATGAAACTTTTCAAAAATAAAAGAAATTTAAAAATAAAGAGACAGTATGAGTCAATGATTTGATAAACAAACAGCATTAATCAATGATATGATAAATGGACAGTAGGAATCGATAACACAACAAACGGACAGAATGAATCAATGATATGGGCACCACCTCCTTAATGAGGTGTGGACCAATCAGAGACAATCACATATATGATATCCGAAACATCGCATGGTATGGGATTTATTACCGGGAAAAGATCAAAGAAAAACCAACGCGTCATTGGATAAATATAAGGTGACTAACACTTCTCAAGTAGGGATTCCCGCCATTGGGGTGCGAAAGTTGTCAGTTAGATACTGTAGGAGAGCGGTTTACTCCGATTCTCTCCTTTAAAAAAACGGCATGTCCATAGATGACTTGTGTGTCGACATTAAATACCTATGCTCGGCATTCAAAGGAGGTGTGTTCAGTATCACTGTAATGGGGTACTAGTGTCTAACTGCAGCACATTGCTCAAGTGAACTGGGACTCAAGGTGTCTGCAGGATTTTCTCTCCAGTACAAGCGGTCCATAAGCACTCATTACACACAACACATATTATGCACCCATGATTCCGTCCGCAAATGACCATAACTTGCGTGGAATTTAAGCCCGTTACCGCCATCTCTATCAGGTCACAATGGTACACTCCATTACAACCTCGGGTGTATTTGAATGAAAATTATTTCAACAGTGGTTGAACCAATACAGCGATATCGCATGCAGAGTTCACTATTGACAAAATATTTCAATACAGCTGACATTATTACAATAGTAGCCATGATTGAATTGAGTCTGCGACCACCATTGAAGTAATTTTTTCACCACTGAAATGATATTTCAATAGTGAACGTTGTTTCAATAGGGGCATCAATACAGGTGTGGTGATCGCCAGGTACTTGCAGCAGGTCGGTGGGTTTTTTCTCCAAGAACTCTCTCTTTCCTTTACAACCAAACCTGATACTTTCTTAATTGTCACTGACTGTTAATAGGACGTAAAACAACAACAAAAATTGTTATTTCCTTTCCGTTATTCTGCTCTTGTGTCTGACGCTCGTTGTTTATCTGTTAGTAATCCACTCAATACCGACTAAGATCAATGTAATCCGGACATTAAAATACTAACTCAATAATATAATGGTTAATTAATCTTAAATCCTTCATTGAAACGGCTGCTTTTCCGCTGGATGAGATTGTTGAAGGGCTTAAATGGAAAATAAAATGTTGATAATACCCTTTATCCAGAAATGTTTTATTTAGTTTTCCGGCTGTGTAAACGAAGGTATCATTTTTTTTAAAAATGAACACTAGACAATTTTAATCGTGGATCATATTCACCTGATAATCGAGTTTTTGTATCATATATTATTCATGGTGATTACACACTTAGTTAATTCAATGTGATAGGTCTACTGCTATAAAATGTGCTGAATTTTCATATTGTACAATAAAACAGGATAATTCACCATATCGGCACACAATTCTTTCTCAAAAATTTATTTCTCAATGAAATAGGTACACTGTCAAGCTTTCACGGTGTATCATCGCCTGGAAGATATTTTTTAATTAAAGCCCCAATATACGTAACATTCACCAAAACTTTAGTGTAGAATTACACATAATTATTGAGATATTCTCTCAGATGTAGTTAAAATTAAGTTATTCAAACAATAGTTACCATGACTTTTTGCATAAAGTATTGATATATGAGCAGTTGAAACTCGCTATTTGTAAACACGCCTCCATTTAAACGCGCCGCCATCGAAATTACGATTGTTGCCGAACGACGTCGGAAAGTTCGTGACCTGATCTCGCGAGAGTTGAGGTTTCTACTTATAGAGGAAGCACATGCAGATATGTCTACGGTAAGTTTTTGTTTTGTTTACAAACATTGTTTGCGAAGTCTTGTCGTAGACTTGAGGTATTCCTGTGATAAACATTCAGTTTTTGGGAAATTATTAAAAGGAATATTTAGTTTAGAAACGATACGACGCACAATTATAACGTAAGAATTCAGAACTGGCCTGATGTATGATTGGAAAAAAAGGAAGCGACTGCTGAACGTCTGTACTGTGACTGCCATGTTTGCACACTCGGAATATGCGCATGCGCAATGTTATCGCTACGAGCGGTAATGTATGAATTATTGTGGGTCCCACATTGTTTATTTTCCGATTTTTTCAATTTTTATTTAAATTGAAAACAGTCAGTTTTATTTTCTTTAATTAAAGGAAAGTATTTGTTTTGTTGCATATATTACGGGGAAAATAAGATAAAGTTTGTTTTTTGTTGTGATTTTTACGTATATTGGGGCTTTAAATGACTCATAGCTACATGAATGACGAGCAACTTGCGATTTAAGTGTTGCAGTTTTGTGCTCATATCGGTATAAATAAAATCTCTTTAATTCCTGTATTTTCTTAATAACAAACAATTCTGATTGATTTCATCATGAAATGTACACGATGACGCTCCCAAAGGGACATGTATTGTGTATTCAATTACACAGATATGTAAATGCCTTTTTGATAAATCCAGACTGGTTCTGTGGTACAATCAACGTGTGTGGGAATCGACTGGATGTTAACGGTGTTTCTAGACAACATATGAGTGCATCAAAACGAAATAATCGGAAAAAGGACTTTTAAAAACCATCATCATTGAAGTTACCATTAGGTAAATGAAGAGTGTGTCCGCTAATATAGTACATAGCATAAAAGGAAAGGTTCTGCATGAGTGGACATAAGAACTAATTACGTCGGTCTATTAGAGTCAATATTGATCGTTTTCCCTATAACTTACTGTTCCGAATCCAAGTACTAATTTGTGATAAGAGACAGGTAGCTACGTTTTGGTGTTATATGTGTGATACGGGTACACTTGCATCATTCGTTTTCTAGTTCGTAGTTTATGATAAACCTAGTTCCATTTTCCGCACGGTTTAAAAACGATAAGTACTTGCAGCATAAACACCATCGCCCATATGAGCAGTTGCGTCTCCGGTCTCATGAGACCAATTTACACAGCGGAAAATTGATGTTTTCTGAGCTTGTTTTCCGCATGTGTTTGTTGGGACTGTGTTCAGGTTAGGACATAGATTCACGTGCAAGATTCGACACATGTCGTTTACAATTCGTTCATGTGCAGCATGAGTGCCACAGCGGTGAAAATGATATGGTTGAAATGGTTGTCATAGCCATCGAGACTGACCGGGATGATTAGGGAGATATGTCAATTATGTTATGTATACAACAATGGATCTATGAATACTCACTAATTCGCCTACCAATGTGTTTTATGACCAGTAATGAAGAGTAACACAGCTAGTTGAAATTTGAAAAAAGTTCTGTCTGTTCGCTTTCTCAACATAGATTTCAGTACAAGTTATACACGACAGCTATCAGAAGAGCTCTGCACCATGACATTCGTAAACATCAACCGTAAAGCCATTCTGATTCCATCAATGATGATTTTCACGTACTATGTCGTAAGGATGTTTACTCCTGCTGCTCCGCCACCGGACCCACCCGACCTTAACTTCACAATCAACTTTTCATATCCCCTAGATACTGACATGGAGAGACTGGTCTCGGACTATCGGAAGGGTTACATAATCAATGAGGAGATCGTCAACCCTTTTCCATATGAGTTCATAAAGAATCCTTCGAACAAATGCACGCTCACTGAGGCAGAGGTTAAAGTTCAAAACATGGTTTTCATACTGTTTATGGTCAAATCGGCTTATGAAAACCATGAACTTCGAAACGTCATTCGTCAAACATGGGGAAATGAGAAGTACCTAACACATTTTAACATCAAAACTGTGTTCACAGTGGGAGTTCCGAAGGACAGGAGTAAATTTAACCTGATAAAAAACGAAAGTGATCAAATGAAAGACATAGTCCAAGTCGACCATATCGATACATATTATAACAATACAATAAAAATGATGGCAGAGTTCAACTGGGTTGTCAAGTTTTGTCGAAATGCCAGATATGTTATACTGATAGACGATGATTATTTCGTATCACCTGAAGCTTTGGTGACCATGTTGGAACATTCCTCGGAAGTGAGAAATACAAAGCGCCTGTACATGGGAAACAAAAAAACACAATCGAAACCACGTCGAGACAAGCGAAGTAAATGGCATGTGCCATATTCCGAATATCCGTATGACATTTATCCGGATTTTATAAACGCTGGAACCATCATAATGTCCATGGACTTTGTTATCGACGCTCAGATCGCAATGATGTATACGAAATTGTTTCGACTAGACGATATATTTCTTTCCATTGTGGCACGGAAGTTGAACGTGCCTGCCTTAGGGACTGAACGCGTGTTTAGCATAAGTGTCATGCCATGGGATCGTCTAAATTTTGAATTCCTCGTCACCGCTCATCATTACAAAGTTCCTGATTTACAGTGGCTCTGGAGACGACATGGCCGCCGGAGAAATTCAAACATTCGACCAAGATATACTGGCTCTAACACCTAGTGCAGTATAGGTTTAATGTGAATTGATAAAAAAACATACTGGAACACTTGTTTATGTAAGTGCCTGACACGATAGTAACGGAGATTTTGACAGAAATTGTCAAGTGTGTTTATGTATTGAAATATTATTCATAGTCATAAATTTTATTTGTTGTACAATTACAGATAATTTTTAAAAAAAGTTTAAATATTTTATTATAGAAAAACATTATTGGGGTCACGTAAGAAAACACTACCGTTGAATGGTTTAATTGAACTTTTGACGAACATCTGTCACCGATAGTTCAGATAATTGATTACAAATACATTGGTGTCTGCTTTCCTTTAAAGTCTAAAGTGTCAAATCGGACATCAGTCGATATTTGTTTCCTTTCTGCAGTGTCGTTCTAGACACAGGTAACCACCGTACTTCAAAGTCATGTATCTTTATAATCTAAACAAGACACAGAGTATGTCATCGTCAGACAAACAACTGGTTTAAAACATATTAGCACCTGTAAGCAGTTGTTAGAGAGACTGCATTTAGTGCGGCTTACATAACCTAGTTAACTATTTAAAGACCAATACCTTAAAATTATCAATAAACAAACATTGAAAGTATCATTTTTCTAAAAATGTTTATTGGAAATTAGTTGCCATCATTTAAAAAAAAACCCTCGTCATCTAAGCATCTCTGATGTAATGGCCGGTCCTCTGTTTTAAAACCCGTGTTGGTTGGATATATTTATTGTCTTGAGAGGTCAGTGTCACGCACCTTGTAGGTGCATAAATCAGCTGGACAGCCGAATGACTGAAATGGAGGACAGTGTTACATTGTCGAAAAAATGGACAAATTCTCTTTTGTTCGGAGATAAATTCGAAATATGAAAACACGAGTTCCTTGTTTCATCATGAACTGTTGTGTTGTCTGTGATCAAATTAAAGCACTATGCACATGTATATAGATTTAAATGTACAGTGCAAGATCATGTTGGACTAATTTTCTAAAGTCAGTCAGTCTCTACATTTAATACAAGTTCATATCAAATAAGTGATCTTTTATTCAGCCCTTGTTTGCCAAGACACGAACACACGCAATTTCTTGTCTTATGATGAGTAAAATTAGAATGACCTGTCAAGTTCAGTTACCTGGAATTTCAAATAATAGATGAGTGACTTTTTCTTACGCTCTTGTCTGACCCAGACGTGACCATGTGTGAATTATTGTATGTTACGTGGAATATTGAAGTTGGGCAATTATATTTTGTCAGGTATGCCCGCTTTTTTCAAACTGTGATATATATTCATTTATGTAATAACATGTGTTCTCCTTCGTTGGAACGCTGGTTACTTGAATGTCGTTTGGCTGTGATATTAATTTGGTAGAACAAAAAACATTGAGGCAATAGATTATATAAAAGACATCTAGTTTGGTAAGCATGTAGTTATACTGACAATGAAAGTGATCTCAACCTAGTTTCGGTTAATATCAATTCATATGGACAAAACTCTGAAACATCTGTCTATAAACACTCCTTGCTGATGAACATTGGCAAATATTCCATTTTTTAAACGGCAAATTTAAAAATCTCACTGTGACATCGGACCACCACTAAAATAAATATGATCCCATTCGAGTCGGGTAATGTTTGTCCCTTGTGTGTTTTCCTCTGAAGCAAAGAGATTCAGTCAAACAAAGATATTGTTTGTCAAGTTTTGTTAAACACGTAAACATCACCGCAAGCCTTTATAAGCATTATCGACAGATCAGTCATCTTGTTTTATATGTCATTTTAGTGAATTAAATCTCCATACTCTCTGAATATTTTTTTCTCCTTTGAATCATTCAAAATCAGATCTAATCAATTTTGAAGTTCGTTAAACTTTCAATCCGGATGTTTACATCCTGTGTTTATTTCCTTAATTTGTGTATTTTCAGATTAAATGTTTGCATCAAGGCTATATATCAATCATGTCTTTTATCACAATCTGCACATCGTATTTACTCCCACGCGCATGTACAAAATACTGATTAAATTGATTTTTAACGGAAATAAACACAGCATATTAGCACCGGTCTTTTGCGCAGCACTTTTCTCATTAGAATAACAACTCTGATTTCTAATGAGTTTTGTCTTCAAAAGCAACAAAGAAATAACCGACATGTCACGATAACTTAAATCAAACTCAAAGTCGATGAAACTGGGTAAATGAAAACAGATATCTACATAGAATACCGCTGGAATAGTGCAGGGAGAAAAATAACGAGTTGTCAATCATATTCAACATGTCAGAACAAAAGAATAATAGAATACTGAAAAGGCTAGGTTTCCAACGATCACTTTCGAGAATTAGAATAAAATTGCCAGAGATAATCTATATTTTTAATTATTATTTAAGAAACCATATTCCTTTTCATGGCTTCCACGAGGGAAAAAAATGTTGTTCTTGCTTCAAAACTATGGTAAAGCCATTAAGATTGGACCATCGACAACGACAAATTTAAACATAAAAAATTCAAATTGTCGACCCACGATCTACCTATGTGTATTATTGTGACTGTAATACATATATATGGGAACTCGTGCCAAGTCCCTGTAATATTAATATGTCGCAATTGATTCGAAATGCATATTCATTTCCTATAATATTTCGTTTTTCGTGATAGATGTCGACAGCTGACGGAACAACACAGCATTCTCGTCATGTGCTGATATAAAGAATACAGGCAAGATCCATGAACGTTACCATATTATTAGGAATTTTTTTTTCCAACGGTTCAACGGCTCGACACTCGTTAGAATGCTTCATCGCCATGGTAATAAGGTTGCAGTTCCCTAGTTCTTCTTTTGAGAACTTGATATCACTTAACGTTATCTACAGTGTAGATTTTCAAGACAACTTTCATCGATGAAGTAGACGAGAATACGTTAATAGCGATAGGGGGTACTGGTATTCATATTGTACTTCATCTTGATAATGTCAAGATTGGTCCTCGTTTTATATATTACGTGTTAGAAATTCAGTTTTATTTACAATTGGTATAAACAATTGTCTTGGTTCGGCAAGTGCTTCTTTATTTTGAACAGTTTGTCTAAAATGAAGGTTACACTAACTAATATCTGCACGTGCACGGTCTATATCTAGGTAAATAACAGTCTTATAGGCATGTTTAGAGTAAAATTTCATCCGCTGAAAGACCGAAAGGCCGAAATAGTGGACGTAAAACCCGTTGAATAAATAAATAACCTATCATTTCGGTGAAAAAGTACACCAAAGATCTAAAACAAGATAGTGGCAATGCACCCATTACAGTTCCGTTAAAGAAATCCCCATGAATAATTGATGTTTGAAGGCAGTTTCAAAATACCTTGTCTGGGCGTTAGTTTTGTATGGCATGTCAAACGATACATCATGTAACAAAGCTAACCTTATAATCAACGTGTCTTCATTTATATTGAATAGTGTATTTTGAATTTCATATTTGTATCGTGTATTGATTTTCTTTGTATTCAATGTTGTCATATTTCGTCATATTTAAATCTCACATTAATATCCAATGGTGTGTATTGTATATTTTTTATTCATGCCAATAAAAATTTGATTTGTGTTCTCACATCGCATTCGTATTTGAAAAAAAAACTGTTTCAATCAGTTGTTTTATCTAAAAATCATTTGTTTGTATTGTTTTCATAATTATTGTATGTGGAGTGCATTTGGTTTCAATACCACTCGATAATTGTTATATTAATCAGTAGGAGTTGCGTCCCTTTAATCTCCAAACGTCATTTTGAGCAAAGCTGTAAAATAACCTACATAGCCCATGTGGATATGCGACTTTCTCTCTGTTTCAACATTACAGAGGGTGGGAAGGAGGTATGCTTTACACAACAAAGCCAATGTTTCACACGCACACCCGCGCATTTTTAAAAGTAAAGAACACAAACATTTGTCTGTTTATTTATTTTTCTTCAGAAAGTGCTACAAAATTTAGGAAAATGAAAGAATTCAAAAATCAATTATTGATTTACTATGCACATCCTACATTCGTTTACTTTTACCAGTGATGTTGTGAACTAGTCGGTTCCGGATATACTGTTCCTTTTAAGAACACTTCCAAATGGTTTTCAAAGAATCCTATCATCAAAACATCTTCGCTGTGGTCAGCTAGGACAAACAAAATTGATAGAAATACTCCTGGCCAATACCTGTCAAATGTGGTGAAAATGAAATGATCAAATAAACATAAAATTTCCTGTGTTAATTACACTCACTTTGTGATATGAATGGTCAAAAAGGTCCACACAGAAATGTATCTGTGGTAGCTAAGTGCACACATTCATATGTCATTCAGCTTTTTTATCAAAAAGTTTAATTTTCGTAATTTGAAATTATATTTTTTATTTAAATTATGTCTGTGCAAGTAATGAATTGAATTTATACTGTTTAGAAAATTCAATCAGCAAAATTGCGCACTTTAATTAAATACCCCATTTTATCATGCAGTAATCTAATCCCCTGTGGGATTCCTCCCCGAGACTTATCTATATGGGGACATTTGACGATGTCCCACATTACATTAATTGTCCTACCACTACAAACGAATGATATTTGATTGAGCTGAATTGATTGGCTTAAGTCACTTCATGGTATCATCTGAATTGTGACATCACCTAAGATGGAAATACAGAGTAGGAGTATGCCAGTTTACTTTCATATTACTGTGTAAAATACAACTTTCATAATGACTTGCACAAAGTCATCTACAAGTAAGTTCTGTGATAAACAGAATCTCACAATTTGCTCCCATTTCATATGAAATTAATTTAACTTGCAATGAAATTTCCGCCTTTTGCCTCACAAAAGTTTGGTTAAAAATTTTTTTATTAATTATACATGTACACTGTAACATCATTTGTGTAAATCAAGTCAGCATTCCCAAACTGACTTAAGATAACATATCATTTTATCAATTAGATAGTGATGTGGTCATTTTTTGGATCTTGTAATATCAATTCTGATCCCTGTATTCCATTAATTTTAACCACTAAATGAAATGTGCTTTAAAATTGTGATCATTAAAGAAACAAGACAAAAAAACCCCAAATCATCTGTACTGAAAGATATTTAATAAATTAATCACCTAAAATCTAGACAGAATAAGATTATCAACAAATGCATAGATGTAGTGAAAAAAAATGTACACACGTTATGGAGAGTATGACTAGTGACTCTGATACAGGTGTAAAACAGTACAGCAAATCAAAAACCATACAGTGAATACACAAGATCAAAAAGTTTGCGTAAAATCCAGCCTAGTTATCTCCCTTTGTCAGGAGTACACTCTGATAAATATAGATCTGTTTTCAGGAAAAGAATGTTTTGTAAAGTATACTACATGAAGTAATATTACAGATAATGTCAGAAATCATTTACCTATTTCTTCTTTTGATATTTATACATAAATGACAAAAAACCATGCGTGTGTTTTTGTTCAAATTTGATGTCAAAGCTATGAAAATAACACTCTCAAAATGTATTTGAAATATGACATATTTGTATACCTGGTATATTACAATATGGAATATGTACTGTATAATATGTCCATATAAGGTTATAATGTCACCAATCTCTATTTACAATAATAATATCACAATATTAGATACTTTGTATCATATTTACCTGTAAAATATTCTGACTGAACAATAAAGGAAAAAATAATCACAAATATTAACAAGTCTTACTGAAATACTTCTTATTTGAAATCACACAGAAATCAGTAATTTTCATCTCTAAACAGAAAATTTTTATTTCATTTATTATTCACGGAAAATTCAGTAAATTGTAAACTTCAACAAAAACCATCTTAATATTCTGGCAACAAGTGCTTCACTTGATTAGAAACAAATATATGCTGCTGAGCCTCCACAGGAGGCCGAATATATTTACTTTTTCAAACAGCCAGCAAAAACAAAGTAACTTCAAAGTAGAGTGGAATTGCTGTTTCAATTCACATGCCTACATGTGTTTCCCTGGATGTGTTAGCAGTAGAGAATATTTTATGCAACAACTAAAAGATAGGAATATATACCATTTTTTTTTTTTACAATATTTCTATCAGAAAACTTATGAATTATGAAAATCTACAATACAGAAAACCAATTTCATCGCAGAATATGATTATTTCTGAACTTTCAGTATAATTTCTGTGATAAAACATCTATCACCTTTGATATGAAACATCCATGTATATATAGTGTATTACACATCGTATGATGGAATTATATTCGAGTATTTGGAATCACAGAATAAATCAGCATTATGATTTTAGGATATCTAGAAACTTTTCTTTTAAAATCCTATTCTTATAGATTAAAATTTTCAAGCTGAAATAAATGTTTTACCATTTTTTCACATACAAACATTGCTATTCCAATTATCAAAAATGTCTTTTAGCTGTTGAAAACTTTTTCCAGCACCAGGTTCAAAGTACAATACACAAATGTAATCAAATGACCAACCAAAAAACAAATTTTCTAGTCTTTATTTTAAAAGCCCTTGTGACCCCATCATATAGATATGTATATCACAGTGTATGTATCTTTGGTTACTACATTTTCTCATGAAATCACGAACAGTACAGAAAAACGGACAAATGGAAGTTGCACAATAATCTATCAAATTATTTTACAACATTCAAATTGTGTGTACAAATAAATGAAATATTTTTAAAAGGATGAAAAACAAAAATGCCCACAGATTTCTCTGTACAGTTTAAATAATCACCATTTCAATAAGAAATGTTTACATATATTGGTGTATGAATGACCAGGAAGACTGGTTTACCATTAGGAGAGTATTCTGGATGATTTTCAAACTAAAACAGAAATCAGTTCACAATGAAATCCTTAGTTTTAAAATCTAACAAATACAACAGAATAAAAATTTTTTGTTTCACATTTTGAATCCTTTTTTTTTCTTTCTAAACAATGACCAAAACATCATTGAAAATAACTAAAATGTACATTTTTTATCTTTAAATTTGAAACTTCAATCTAAAGTTACAAGGGAGAAAAAACTTACATTCACGAAAAAGTTTGATTTAAAAATGATTACAAACAAATACCTTCAATAAATAAATTAATGATTCATAAAAATTGATTCCTATGAAAATCCCACAGAGAAACATTCATCTTGATCTGACACGTAACACACACATGTATCATACATTTACAATTAGAAGGTCGCAACATCAAATACAAGAAAACTCGCAGTTTGAGTTGTACCTTGATAAATAAAAACTTATTGATTTTAATTAATTCAATATTTTTGAAAAATAATAATGCAGTAATAAGGTTCTTAATTCATGAAGCTAAGATTTCTTTAAAAAAATTCAAAATTACCATTAAGTACGAAGAGTATAACTTTTCTCTAAATATACATTGTACACCTGTGTCTGGTCATGTAGCTATTTTACTTATTTGAAAATTATATTATTGACAAAATCACAACAGTGAGACAATTCAAGATACTAGGTAAAATTCCATAGTGTAGCAATAATGTTCAAATGACATTGTCTATGTAGAATCAGACAATGAGAAAGTTCAATTCAAGAAAAATCTTACAAACTTACAATAAAGCACTCAGTTATCTAATGTTCACCTTGTTCTGTTATAATCCATCTGCACAAGTATAAAATGGTATGCCTATTAAGATGTGTAAGATAATTATATAATTTTACCTAACTAACTTATATACATATATATCATAGTAATCAAACTACAGGTGTTTTTAAACTTAACATAATCAATATCTCAATGTGAAGGTATAAACAAACCTGTAGGAGTTAAAATTTTACCTAGACTCCTTCGGACTAGTAAAAAATGGTTACACGCATAAGATGTAGTCAGCTATAAACATACACATGGCATACTCCTGGACAGGTCTGAAAATATCTATAAAAAGATTATTTGCTGTACAGGTATAACTTGGCATGACAACCTGGGCTAGCAATCAACAAGGGTAGATTTGGACATACCACCATAACTACTAGGACCTAGACCTTTCATTGCACCAAAGTCTGTCAGAGTATGGTGCATATCAGATGAACTGCCGCGTGACTTGTTTGATCGTGCCGAATGATTAGATTTGGCAGAGTGAGTATCTGATGTTGATGAACTGTTGTTCCACTCGCGATCTTTAGTGTCTATCCCAGAATCCTCTGACAAGGGTGAACCATTGTTTCTATAATTAGCAGCCCAGCCAAGACCTTTTGCCTGAGCTGCAGCCAAATATCGTTTGCGGCGATTCATTTTGTAAATTCGTATCCTTTCTTCTTCCTCTTCTTCATTGTCTAGAACCTTATCCCAACGTAGACTTTCGGTTGTGTGTTTACTCACAGCCGTACTACTAGCACTCTTGGGCATTGATTTGTTGTTAGGTCTTTGCCCTTTGATGCCACTTTGAGGTACACGATTGGCCACCTTGGCCGAGGATTTTTGTGGCTTGGCAGACTTTTGTGGTGCGTTCGTAGGATCACTGGGAGATGGAGTTGGCTGGGGTGATTTTACTATCTGAGGTAATGTATTAGCACCATCCAAAACCTCACTGACATCATCCCTGGTCGAATCTTCTCCATCTCCTCTCAAGCTTCCCTCATCTCTCACACTCTCTCCACTCTCCTGGACAGGGGCAATTTTTGTCTCAGGGGAAGATCTCTTGGAATCTCCTGTAACACAGAAAGTAAATGACATGTATCACAATGGACGTACTGTATTTGTCTGATGATAAGCCAAGTGATTCAATGATTCCTACCCATGGTGGTTTGTGTCTCTCAATACAGACAACATCCTGTTGTGGTTGTGTTCTTGGGCAAGACAATTTACTCTAATGGCACTGGATGAAATGTAATGGGACCTCTTGTATGTTGTTCATTGAGGTTGCTACCAGTGTCTACAATGAAACCTAAGCTCAAAATAATTGTGATTGTAGAAGGGCTATCAAAGGGGCAATAAACCCAATAAACAAACAAAATCATATCATTTCTGGTAATAATCATGTACATCTTTTATGAAAAAATCTGTGTGTCCTTTAAGAAGTCCACTCCTGCCATATATGTATATCAATTTGAATCCAAGAGAGAATGTCAAGCAAAATGTTTTGGGCAATGCCAGGGATATATAGACAATTTCCCACACAAATTCACTGCCATGTTGGCTTGTCTACAAACAGGACACATTAGCATCACCATGTGACAATGATATTGATTTCACCATGTGACAATGATATTGATTTCACCATGTGACAATGATATTGATTTCACCAAGTGACAACGATATTGATTTCACCATGTGACAATGATATTAATTTCACCAAGTGACAACGATATTGATTTCACCATGTGACAATGATATTGATTTCACCATGTGACAATGATATTGATTTCACCAAGTGACGCCATATGATTTCACCAAGTGACAATGATATTTATTTCACCATGTGACAATGATATTGATTTCACCAGCTTTGTTTGATTTATACGCGTCTTGATGACAAACTTTATGGGTGCGTTGAACTCATCAGTCAAACTGTCATCAATGGAAACCAGTCACGCTAATTATTAAGGATTATCAGATTACATTTCTTGCTAATCAAATTGATTATTAAGTAGTTCTGTATATAACCTGCCTTCACTGATACAATTTTTCAGATTCATTGCTATCATTACATTACCATCATGGAATCCATTGTGAATGTGACCTCTGACTGGATTTCATCTCCCATTCAAATGTCTTCATCACACACAACTTTAACACGGCAATAAGCATTTTTTTTTTTTAATCATTTTATTCTCCACATAAGAGATCCATGAGAGATCTTGGTGCCCACCATTGTTTGATCTTTATTTGTTCTTTAAAAGTTGTTTCCCTTCTTTTCTGTTATTCATATGACATTTGAAAATTCCCCTTTAAGAAATAGTGATATTCTTAATCTGTTACCTGTCAGCTTTTTTTGTTTTTCTGGTCAGACATAACACCAAAATGTTGGCACAAGTAAAAACCAAAGGCAATTTGTACATATAGAATATAGAAAAGATTCATATGTACTTTTGAAGAAATAGAGATAACAATTTGTTATAGTCAAAACCTGTCAGCGATCTTGTTTTTTTTCTTGTAAGTCCCAAAATGGATTATGCTCAACTGTTAAGAGGCCATGGTAAAGCTACACATGAAATTTAAGAATGATCCATTCGGTGCTTTTCCAGAATTGGGGAAATAAAGATTTGTTTAAGGACAAACTGGTGGACAACAGATGATGACCACAACATCTTTTCAATGTGTATACAGACACTGCCTATATATAATGAATGAAGATAATGATATTACAGTAACGTCAAACCACTGGATTCATTTTACAGCTATTTTCTTGTATATCAAAAATGTCAAATTATATATTGATATTTCCTGTATCGTGAAGATTTAAAACATTTCAAATTGGATTTTGTCTACTTAATCAACATATATTCCTATACATGTGCTTCCTGACATTTATCAATGACAAACTGAAACACACATTATTAAACTTCACAACTGATTTTGCTAAAAAGCCTCCCATAAAATTTGATTGAATTATTGAACTGAAGTCCATTTCACATAATGGAAATTTAAAACACATATGACAGAATACAAGACTTTCTAGATTCACTTAGCAATTGAACTCCAAATTTGTTTAAAAACAACACAAGCCCTTTTAGCCCATGGATTTCTTTGGCATGAGAATACCGGTATTCAAATTATCATAAAATAAAAAATCCTGTACATTTTATTTTGGATTATATTTTTTCAAAATTGTTATAAAAAAGGAAAGGGATATATATATGTATATCATATCAATGCTTGTAAGTGAACCCATGAAGTATAAAAAAAAGTATAGAGGCAGTTGGAATGGAAAGACTAGACTTGACAAGCTCGGAGGGACAAAACAATTTTTATCTAACATTAATTTAGAAAGAGAATAATAAAGCAATATAGTCTTTTAATGAAATAACATCTCCGTCTATATTTACATAATATTACTAACATATAGTTGACTTTTCTGGACTGAGTACAATAAATAACCCCAGAAAAGACAACTACAGACTCCTAAAAACAGGGTCCCAAGTACTGACCTACTTTCATTATATAAACCACACAGGGATATCAATTTTAAATACATATATTCACCTGGACTGTAACAAATTCTTCTGTTTCTGCGTTTGGGAAAACTGCACACATAGATTACTGGTAATTAATATCTTATACAATATATAAAGTAGCTCTGATCACTTTTTTTGGTCAATAGATTCTCCAGGGGGCCAATAATCTATAGTCCCATAGCAGTGTCACCAAATATCTTGTATTGACTCAAACACCATCACCAGGGGTTTTAACAAATATTTTCACATTAAGATTTATATACAGGTGTAAATGTGTTCCTTGACCACGAGACCATTTTTCAGATAAGGACGAACTTTGTCCTGTCATAAATATATGATGTAACACTTTTCTAATCTGATAACAGTCACAAAAACAGAGAGTAGAATTTCAGTTCTGTAGAGACACACTCATTTAAACTTTAATTAAACCATTTATTAAAATTGGTGGCATGAAAATATCGAAAAGATCTGGAGTTCCTTTTTATATTGAATACATTACACAACCATGTACTTGGTCCCTGAAAACTTAACTCTCAGAATTTATCATTTTTTATCCATTTAGTTACAAAAGTGCTTTCACTTCCACTTTAAAGATTACTTTATTCAAACTGTGAGTTTTATCAGGAGTGAAATTTTGTATATGGTAATATAAACAGTTCACCTGTGAATACTGGTCGTTAATTATCATGAAGAATGAGTGTATGAGCTGATTATCACATTAATTACAGGTATTTTGGTTTATATATTATAGTTTAATCTGTAAATGGATATCTAAGGTTTAGATCTAGTTGTGTTTAAAGGTACATGAAATCTAACTCCATCTCTAGGACCCATCAAGTTATTTTACCAGTACACATTTTCCTTATCAATTGAAAAAATACACAAAACATATATAATACTAAGTATAATATGTGCTGTACTAAAATTAAGCCAACAAGTCAACACATGAACACTAGTTCAAAGTATATGGGTGGGTTTATTAAGGGACACTCAAAAGCATTGGTTCATAATCTTATCGAGAGGTGCCATTAATAGGTGGGCATTTTACCCATCATGGCCATATAAAGATAGTACCTTGTTCAATAAACCCAAAAAGTTGGTTATCAAAATTTGAAATTCTCAATTGAAGTTGGGATATAAGCTGATATTACAAAATAATATATATATATGATATAGCATTTGTTTGCATTTCTTCAGTTGATGTGGACAATAAGTATGTCTATTTTTCAATGTCTGACTTTACATACAGCTAGATATTTTCCTGAAGTTCAAAATAGATTCAAAATAAAACTGTTTAAGACAAAAGTCTACACTAAAGAACAGTCCATTCTTTGTTTAGGAACTTTAGATAACTTTAGATTTTTTTTCAATTTAAAAAGTTAAATTTAAAGGTCTTATTTCTAGTGAACCCTATTGAATTGGATAGTTTTATCTTGATGGCAATAACTTCTGACGAATCAAAAGTCAACACTTGTACATTTTTTTCTTGTATGTATACTGGGGATTTAATGTGCTACCAGACCATGTTATGAAAAGAGATCTTATGGATGAGATATTGTGCTTTGAGCTTGTGAGTGCAGAAGAAATATTTGTTGAAGTGATTAAATAACATATAGAACTCAGTCTTATATATCTTAACAAGACTCCTTTACACAATCAACCTGCATTGTTAAAATATAAAAGGCCCAACAAAAATTAAGCCAAGGGAGTCAGCATACTACCTTCTCCGACTCAGAGTCAGGGATTACACAGGTTCACCAACAGTGAAGAATATGTTCTGCTGTACAAAAATAGATGTGCCTATTATCAAGCATGGATTAACTGTGAGATAAACAAAACTATGACCTTGACCTTAGGGGTTCACTTAATCATGTGACACAATATCACTGACCCCAGACACCAATTTTAGATGAGCATGCTTCATGACCTTTGTCCCAAATGCTCCTGATTTAAGCATGTGATGGGCCTCCTGTATGCTGTTCAGTGAGGTTACTGGCAGCTAACATATGTATATGAATAAGGGGACCATGCCTCAATATGATTCAGCCTGTTCACTGGACAACAAAATGAACCAACAAACATAAAAATAAAGAATCAATGAAACAATTATTTTGAAATGTATCATGTTCCAAATTGGTTTTAAAGTCACGTTTTTTTTTTCAAACAATTACAAAACAGATACTTGTACTTGATCTCGAATTATTTGCAAACCAATTAACTTTTCAAATGAGGTGTGTTTAAAATTTTAGAGCAAGACATTTTAAACCATTGGCTTTTTCAAGTATAACATTACCAGGTCAATATACCAACAGAATACAAATGATAAATACACACATTAGAAACGCCAACCATAACTCACGTCAACACCTTTTTTTAACTAGAACTCTATGCTCTTATCTAAATTGAAAAATTGTACAAGTTTCAGTTCACATCAAAGAGTTTTGGTGAGCAAGATTATTGATACAGCATAAATCGCCAAGCCAGACCTATACAAATATACTACGTAAATACAATAGGTGTTTTAAATCACAGAT